TTAAGTATTTCAATAATATTTACAGAATCGATATTGTGAACTACTCATATTTTTGTTTTCTATGTGACGAAAGGAAAACTGTTATTTTTGAACTCATTCTGTTACAGCTAAAAAATATCTTCAAGGTAAGTTAATAAAACACTTTAATAACGTTAATGACGTGCATGCCTATAAATCTGGACACCCTGTAAGTTTATATAAGTTTTTTCTTACAATAATCTATATATTTAGTATATCACTTAGGAAACATTCTGTATATTTCTATATATAGGGCGTTAAAGTTCTCTAAAATTTATTTTTTTCTTTTTCATATGTGGCAAGTACTACCTTTTTAAAATGGATAATATTGACACTACAAATCCAAAAGTATATTCATACATTTAGACAAAGATTAAATGGATGCATTTCGTGATGCTCGTCAGTAGTAGTAGTAGTAGTAGTAGTATGTAGCTAGGAAAAGTGTTAGTTAATTCATTTGAAGATTTAAAATATTATTTAAATAGTATTTACACTGTTCATTTGTGATAATATTTGAACTAAAAGTGGGTATTTTCACTCAAATACAGGCACAACATAAATTTTCCAGATAAACTCGTATTTGGTACACTTGTACCTAAATCGGAGTAAATGTCATCATTATTGAGTGAACCCACCCCATTCTATAGTCGTCGAGCGTTGTCTTTGTTTCCCATCCCCATTATGTCATCTCGTGGCAGCTTATAGTAGTTCATGACTTTAATGAAATTATATTTAAATTTTTAAAGACAATATAAACCAAGCCTGAGTAATTCTGATTTTGAAAAGAGGACGTACATGATAAGAGTTGCGGGGGTGCGGGAGGTGCGGGGGGCGGCAGCCCCGGCTTAGCGCCGCAGGCGAAAATTTTTAAGGACTTTGAAGGTCTTTGTGTTTTGCAAGTACCCCAAAATGAATACTGTCAATGTGTACAGTAGATACTTAGATAAAATGCGAGAAGTAAAATTCCAACGTGTGGGGGCTGAAGTGGATAATCGATCAACTAACCCAGTTAGGCTATAATTATGTAGATTACTGTAATAGTTCATTCTGTATAGTTTTTGAAGTTCCGTTAAAAATATGGGCATCACTAAGATGTTTATCTAAAACGGGATCAATTTTTGCACTATAGTCTATCAGTTCTAAAGATACCCCTTTGTTTACCGAGAAACATTTTTAATTATGTCCACGAAGAGGAAGGTTACATGTACCTACCACATAGTTTTAAGATATCTATCATGTTTTTCTAATTTTGTCTGGTAAATGTTTCACGTCAGAAACTCCAGATTTCGTCTAGTTTTCTTCACCTCCTCCAAACAATAAACATACAAAACAAAAAAATCTATTTGTTTCGTCAAAATCACATAGCCACAGGGTCTTATCATAAATGTTTTTATCAAATTTGCGAAAAAAAGCCGGCCTACTTTTGCACTCTTTCTGCACCTGAACTAAATTCAACACTGGCATTGGACGTCTGTTATTTTTCAATTCGACTTTTTCCTCTAAACTTAAATTACTAATAACAAGTTTTTTTATTTCTCAAACCCTCATTTTAAACTTAAACTTATAAAATATAATGTCTTAAAAAGCGCCAAAGCAAAAACAAAACACGTATAACCACACTTCAGTGATACGGCTTACTGCCTCATGGAGTCCAAAACAAAGTGCGCGAGACTATCGTCGCCTATCCCCTCCACGTGCCAATTTGTCCAATCATATGTAAAAATATGCTTGCACGATGGACTCAGATTTCACAGTCCGCGATGGAGTGGGGATTGCGCGCGCGGTTAAACATAACTCTTTGGTACGATCATAGATGGCAGATGGCATTAATCTGAGTTACGTTCACGGAGTACATGCACTTTATGCAACCAACCTAACATCCAAGATACTGAATGCATGCTATTTAGATTTCTTATTGATTTAAATAAATACATTATTTTAAGTTTATAGTTTGAAAATATCTGGAGGGGGGGTAGAATCCCAGAGTCCTCCTTCACGAGCCGCCACTGTTCACTTGATAGTTGGCAGAGACTCGGATTTGAGTAAAATTCTCATAAAAATTTTAGTTGTACTCGTACCTACTAATAGAGTGAATATTTCATTCTGTCGGGTGTGGACAGAAATTGATACATTATTGAGTAACGTTGAGTGAAATTGAGTAAATTTTTTTATATTTTATGATTTTAGTATTATAAGTATGCGCTTTTTAAGTAATGTAATTTGGATGGAATTATTGTTTCTTTTCTCTACTTAGATACTTGGAATCAAAAAGTATATGTATACAGGGTGAATTATTTTTTTCTATATGTTCGAGAAAAAAGTATTAAAATAAAATAAAAAATGAATAACATAATTTATATAAATATTTCTTAAGAGGTTTAACATGCAATTTGACCAAATACATCTTGTCCGCGAGATGCATAGTCCATAGTAGAAGTGACAAAGGGAGGAGACCTCAGACAGAGAATGAGCTCCAGTGCTAGTCTGGTAATATTGCTGCTGCACATCTGAAATTCGCGGACGAGATGAATTTGGTCAAGGTGTAGATTAACGACATTTGGGCAAATGATTATACTAATTATGAACAAAAATTCACTGAATTGATTTACAAATATATTAACCAGTACCGGAGATACTGGGGCCGCTATTATAAAGAACCCTAACATCTCGACACCACTGAGTATTTTACTAATTCGGTAAGTGTATTTAATTCTGGTCGGTATCGCTTATAAAAGACATAATAATTGTTTACTTGAAATACAATTTTCAATATTTTTTTAAATAAATGGTAGGCTTTCAATTGTGTCGACCACAGTATACTATTTAAAAAATTATCAATTTATGGATTACGTGGAATTCCATTGGATTGGATACGTTCATTTTTGAATAACCGGAGTCTTAAACACAAAGATTTTTCTAGTGTTCAACACATACATTTTAGAACACAGAGTATAACCATGGGTGTACCACAGGGTTTCGTATTAGGTCCTATGTTGTTCCTGTTGTATATTAATGACATAACCACCATTGCTTCTAATATTTATTTTACTATATATGCCGACAATACTTCCCTTTTAATTTCTGATAAGTCTTCTTATGACATAGATACCAAATGTCTTATGACATAGAGACCAAATGTAATATTATACTTGATAAATTATATACATGGTTCTGTCAAAATAATCTTTACTTTAATGTAACAAAGACTCATCATACTACATTAAACCTAAATATAAATGACATTTCTGTTAATAATGAGATGTAGGTTAAATTTCTGGGAATTGAATTTGACAGTAATTTGTCTTGGAAGCCTCATTGTTCAAGTCTTCGATTCAAAATTGAATTCAATCTGTTATTTATTCCGAAATTTGCATACTGTGCTTGTAACTAAGTAACTTATAAATCTGTATCATGCACAGGTTGGCAATAGAATAAATTATGGTGACTGTTTCTGGGGTGGGTCTGTTATGTCTTCTGATGTGTTTGTATGTTAAAAAAAGACACTAAGATGTATTTTTAATGTTTCCTGTTCACATTCATGTAGATACATTTTTAAAAACTATTTTATTCTAACTCTACCTGGTCTTTTCATATTTGCTTTGTGTAATTATGTATTTACCAATATATCTAAATTTTATACCAACATGGAAATTCATGAAATTAATACACGACAAAAAAATGAATATCATATACCGTTTATGAGACTGCACCTCACCATGAAATCACCAAACTGTCTGGGCCTTAAGGTATTTAATAAATTACCTAATGATGTGAATACCTGTTGTACTGCTTAACTTTTTAAAAAGAAACTAAAATCGTACCTATACTCCGCGGTCGAAATTGTAGAGTGACTCATCGCTAGCTTTTGGACTAGTAAGGGGGAAAAAGCGTGCCGGGAACGAAAATCCATTGGCGTGTCGGCGTAAAAGGCAACAAGATATAGAAAATATTGAAAAAAGATAATAAAACATAACATCTAATATTTTTTACGGTTTGCTATAACCGGCACTTTGATCAATTTTAATTATTACAGCATTTTAAAACGTCCCAGTTGTGTTTTTTTAATTTATAAATTTATTATAGCCATGGAATTAGATCCCTCGTCTACGCTTATGCAATGACGTTTCTCAGGATGGGTAAATCAAGTCCGTTTACACCCACTAAAAAAGCATTTCCCTATTCCCTACCAAGTGCAAAAGGCAGAGATAGAATATAGATCGACGTTCAGTGTAACTCAGTCTTTAGACGATTATAGATTCTATCGATGTGCGTAGCGAGCGGCACAAAGATAAATAATATTGAACCGTATAAAAATCATTTTATATTTTATACGCATTATGGTAATAGTGTTTTTATATTATGTCTGAGTCACTCTCTATAATTTCGACCGCGGAATATAATTGATATGTGTCCGTATTCTTTGGATAAGTACTTCAGATTTTAATGGACTGCGATTTTATTTTTAATATGAACTATATGTGATCTAATGTGTTGTTAATTTATTTAATTTAGATTATGTTATATGACAAATTTAACAATTTTTTTTACCTTTGGTTTGTAGTAATTTTCGATTTCTTCAACTGTGTCATACCTGCTTTGTTAGAAATTTATTTAACGAATCAGTATTTTTTTTAAGAAATTAGTGAATTCATTAGCTCAAGTTTCACCACTCCAAGTCAAACATCTTGAGAGATACTCAAAGAAAGGTATTTATTTTAAATTTCAACGCACTATATCTCAAAAAGGAGTGTTTCTATCTGCTAGTTTTTCTATACTTGATTCACCTTGTATATTTGTTACTAGTTTCACGGTGCTAATGATATACGTAACTTCGTATTATGAATATTTATGAACAGTTTTAGAAATACATTTAATTAATAATAAGTAAAGTAATAAAGCCTGAAGTATAAACATTAATATAGAAAAATACATATGTACTTAAATTGAAATAAACTGAAAAGTTTGTTGATTTTATAGTTTACCTGTAAAGTCAGTACTATGTTTTGGCCTCTACACAGCGAGAGACTATTCGGCAATGGTCCAGCTTGAAGACTCAAGTGCCTGAGGGGCAATTTCAGCGAGGAAGGACCGTCCTCTCCATGTGCAGTCGCCACATGGAGCTGTCCACCCCTTACTGTCACCCTTCTAGGCCACCAGTTCCTTTCGTTTCCGCATTTCAGCAAGAGGTCACCTGAAACGAAATCATAATAGAAATATCAAAAAAACCAAACCAACTCAGATGAATACTAAGGGAGCTACGCCTCTTAACAATAAACAGTTATATTACAGAAGAATGGACAAACTCATTGTTATCTTTTTAGTAAATGTTACTTTTAAATTTGAAAATAATTGTGAAGAAATAGTTTTGTGTCAAATCAGATCAATACTTTTGGTAAAGTGACAATTATCTCATTTCTCGTGGTGTAGTTTTCTATACTATTCTTTTATGAGTATGTTTAATGAATTTTTGTCTGCAGTCTATATTTAAGTCAGGCTTTTATTCTTATGGCTCTTTTTTTTTTGTAGAACAAATGCATCTACTGAAAACTGAAATAGACTATATATCAAAATATATTTGCATATGACGTTATAGAGTGTATAAAGCAGTTTTCAAAGTTTGTGGTGATACTTCAGACTATTCACGATAATTTAGAGTCTAAATGTACCCTTGGCTTCACAATCCCTGTAGAATTTGAATTTAGTTAACCATAAAGAAACCTGTTCTGAATCATTAATTCAGCTTGAAGGCTCTTTTCTATCAAATCATCAATTAAAAGACTGAGATTAGTGAGGTTTGTGTCACTGCAAATTGAATAGCTAAAACTGTATCATTCATATAACAACGTAAATCACTTAAACAAATTCAGAACAGAACCGAGCCAAGAACTGATCCTTGTGGTACTCCTTGCATTAGACATATTGACAGTATAATTAGTAATATGATTATATGTTGTAGTCTATTATTGATTGAATAGATAAGATATTAACAAGATAATTTATCTATGAGAATTCAATAACACACAAAGTCAAATGTAAGATGAAGGAACTGGGAATATATATTATTTTTTTAAATAAACCTGTATTAATCTGTGATATCAGTTTGCCGCTGTTGAGAGCTTGTTTCTAAAATTGTATTGATTAGAATTTACTAGATTTTATTTATCAAGGCAGTTTATAATTTGAGTTCGTTTTTAAATTTTTTTGCAAATGGTGTAATCGAAATCTTTCTTGTGAATTGGTACCACTTTACATGCTCTTGAAGAACCTTTAATATTCTCAAATATTTCGAAGTTTCACTTGTGAACAAATGAATTTCATGTCAGTCAATGTAGTAACATAAAAATATTCATAATCTTCCATGTAATATTAATTTTTTCTATTATTGCCAATATTTGAATTATACAGCGTGTTTCTCATTGGCATGCGGAAAATCCAGGGACGTATTCTGTGCTTAAAATTAAGGTATTCTTGTAAAATAAACACAGGGTAGTAAAGAAGCCGTTTTCAAGCTACAAGTGTTTCCAAAAATTAAAAAATCAATTTAAAATTTTTAATGTCTAGACCGCTTAGGATATTTTTAATAAATTTGGTCTACATTTTTAATTTGTAGGTAGTTATATAATAAAAAAAAATTAGGTTACATAAATAATCAGTGGACGAATTATGGTTACTTGATGTTTTTCTTATTTTACAAAAAAAATGTATCACCCTGTATAATATACAAACAAATATATATTCATATATTCCATACCATTCCCTCCATTTTTAATTCTTACACAATTTTTCCCATCCTTTACCGTTTAGCAACAAAACTAATTTTCTTATCGGGAGTATTTCTCGACAAACATATAATAATAATGGGGCATTCCACGACAAATCGACCACTTTTAACCCTGACCACTTTCGATTTGGCTGAAACTTTGTTTTCTACCCCATTGAAAACCTCCGAGAATTTTTTAAAATTTTTTCAACCAACTAAAAAGATGAATTTTTGAAAAAATAGATTTCTTTTTAAATACTTAACCATAACTTTTTCAAAAATTGAGTTATTCGGATTTTTTTCCAAAATTTTTGTTTTCAAATGTACTTTTTGAAAAAATATAGATCAAAATTATCTGAATCGATCTTCACTGTTTTTTTTTTCAATTTTCGAAAAACAACGAAAATTTCTCGATGATTAGGTAGGTACCATTTTAAAATTTTTTTTTTCCTATAAGAAACTGACATTTTTTATAAATCCTCAAATTTTTTCAGTGGTGTTCTTTCGTTTTCTGTTTTTATTGATTGAATTTTTTTTTTAAATTTAGCTTATTTCACATCACCATTTCGAAAATTTTTGAAAAAAACTATTCTATGCAGCGATTGATGACAATTTCAAAAAGTCAAAGGAGGATGGTTTCAAAATGATTTATTTGAGTTCAAATTCGTTGCATGGCTTTTTTTAAAGCCCACTGTTCGTCCAAAAATGTACCAAATAACAACTTTTTTTTCATTTTCTTTGTTTTTGGATGTAGTTTTCGAAAAAAATACAAAAAAAATATTCAAAACGATCTTCTATTTTTTTCTTAACTTTTTCAAAAAAATTTTCGTTTTTGTTTGTTTACCACTTTCCGTTATTTCTTTCATATATATTTTTTCAATTTTGGGATACTTTTTTTTATTTTTAAATAATTAGATTACAATTATCAATTTGCAATTTAGTTTTTTCAAAAATGTTATTATTAAGAATGTCCTCGGTGTAATTAAAATATTTTTAAAAAATTATCCAAAAAACTTGATTATTTTGCCTTTTTTTCATCAATTATTGATATTTTGCAATATCGGTAATAAATTTAAACACAGATAAAATAGGTATTTTTTTAAATTTTTTAAACATTTTTGCAATTTTGAAAATGTTCAGGACCTTGCCCAAATCTAGGGATCTACACTTTTATTATGTGAGTTGTACCTAGAAAAAAATTGCTTGCCCCCTCTCACATCCACCTCAAAATATATCCGCCCTGGTCTATACCAACAACAAAATTGGGGAGAATAAGGATCTCGGCAACCCCATATTTAGTTTTTGTATTCGAAGTACATAAATCTACATAAATTCATAACAATTGCAATAGAATAAATAATATTCGTCTCAAATTATTATACCTATATCTCTCTCTAGTTAATATCTCAAAAATCATTAAAGACAATAAGAAAAATCGATTTTGAGGATTCCATTTTAACGCCCTATATCTTTTAAAGGAAGTATTTTTGTATGTAGATGAATTTGTCTTAATAATTTTATTTTGATCCCTGAGGTTACCGGACTGGTTTTCTTTTCTGGGACACCCTGTGTATTTCATTTGTTATATTCTACTTTAAAGTTAATAAATATATGCAGAATGAATTGCCAAGTTTTTTAAAAATATCTAATTAAAAAAAGTTATTCTATTATATGTATGTTGTAGCCTTATTAACGGGCATTATACAGTAGTACACACATAACATAATGATAATTTTTGAAAATGCAATTATTATTTTAATGAATATCTTTCCTTGTAGCTGTGCTTCTTTCAGTTAGATACTAAAAGTGTCTTGGTTCTCTAATTATACATATGTGCAGAGTGTGAGTAAGGCTTGACACAAAGTAGAACAATGTTGCATTGTACACAAGAAAAATATGTAATTTTTATTGCAAATTATGATCTTAATCTCATCCTGGATAATCGCTTCCTTTTATTTATTTTATACAATTATTCAAAGCGTGACCCGAGCAATTTCACTTTCTTATGCATTATATGGAAAGCTCCTCATAAATAAAATTAACCGATTTGTGCAATATACGGTTATGCTTGAAATGTTATTATTTATAGCCAACCATATTTTTTGAGATACATATCTAAGGAAAATAGTAACTTATGAGTAAAAAAAGCAATTTATGAGACGACTCTACTAAAATTTGTAATTTGTTTGCAAAATCTTATATGGTTTGCGAAAGATTTTCGTAAACTACAAGTAGTGATTCTCAAACATCAAAGAAAGAGTAAGATTTCTTGTGACATGTATATTTATATCGAATAAATTTAAAAATTTTTGTACTAAATTATTATAATTTATTACTGATGTAACTCTTGAATACTATTACAAAAACCTTTTTATTCAAGAACATTTTTGGATGTTGAATTTTTGTTTTCTTTTTATACTGATTGCGAAAGATCATTATGGTAGTAAATTTAAATCTAATCTAAGATATAACTGAATATATGCATGCGTTACCAAATTAAATTGACAAATTTATCAATGCAAATATTATGGGGATTGAAATTCTCCAATAATAAAATATTCTCGAAACACTGAGTGAAGTGGTGCAGATAAGATAATCCAATAAAAATGACAACCACAGTAAAGGTTAACAACAACAACTTATTAATGAAATGCATTCATACAATGTTTTTATTAAACAGATTAAGAGCATAGCTTATTATAATTAATTGTGATAGCGTAGCCAATTGTCCTTATCTTATATTATTGGAATAAACAATATTTATGCAGTAGATGCACAAATTTGTATAAAGTTCTTCCTCTGGATGAAGATATGGTTATGCAGTTTAGCGCATTTGTTTCTTCTTCATCGGATGCACTGTTTATTGTACCAAGAAAGTTGTAAAATGTGTTTTACATTTATACAACAATTTTTCAATCAATAAAAATTGAGGAAATTTGTTACAATTATATTACGGTACTAGAAAAAGTTGTTTTGTCTCCAATATTTTGTCCAATTTATTAAAGCGTGATTTAGTTTTCGTCTATTCTTTAGTAAATTATCTTGATTTAATAGAAGTCTATCATCACTAACTGTATGTAGATCTCTAAAAAATATATATAGAATTATGACCTTTTAGCCGAACTGTCAAAAGATTAGTTTTTAACGTTAGTTGTATTAGAAAATTATAAAAATGCAACAGTTTGTAATAACGATTTAGATTTATTTTTAAATTTTACGTGATACTCTAAATATATTAATATTTATATTAGTACGGAAATGTAAATACTAACATTATTGTGGCGCCATAGCCACTGCCTCTGTAGTTATGTCACTTGATGCGGTAATATGCTATTCTATTATACATGTTATCGCGATATACAGAATTAAATTTCAAAATAGTAAGTAGTAAAATGCATATTACTAACAATGACTATCTTGCACTTAAATTCACATTAACATACTTTGTTTAATTAGTGTTTAAATTTTAGGAATAATTACACACAAACTACGTGCCCGTCGAAAATATTACATTCACAGGAAAAATAGTGCAATGGAAAGTTAAACA